TTTATATGTTGATCATAGATTCTTAGACCGCAAAAGTAAAATTACTTTTGAAAAACTTAATGATACGCTAGAAGCTAAACCCAAGACTGGTCTGGATGATCTCCATCTTCTTCACAGATCTTAGAATAATGGCCCTGGATCCATCAAGTATCTTGATTTTCTTGGACCGTTTATCTCCACTTTAATGATCCACTCATCTTCATATGGGCTCCCATTAACTAGACCAGGTGATTCACTTAGTTTATCATTAACTTCAACCACTTTGCACCATGTTTTATATTACTACCAACTTCAGGTAACCAAACGTACACAAATCACTCAGATGCTCCTGAGCGTGACCTGTAATGCCTAAAGTGGAAGAACTTCCATTAACTTTAAACCGTTCATGACTTTCTGCATACTCCGAAGTCCAAACCCATGAATATATACCTACGCTTTGAATATCCACAGAAATGAATACTAATAAGGTATCTATTATTTTATATCTTCTCTTTCATATTTTTCCACCATACCTCTTATTTTTTCTACACTATTCATTACCCCTACTATTTCACTCTTAAAAAAATGTGTCAACACCTATTGTAGCAAACAAAAGAATACGGAGGGAGTAATAAGAATTAGTCTTAAATTCAAGGCCATCAAGGTAAGCCTTTCTTATTTATTGTATTTAATATCCTAAAGTACTCCCTCAAGAAGTAAAAAACAAACTATTTAAAATGTTGAATATAATATCAAACTTAAATAAAGAAATTGCACAAGTACAATCCTGCCAGATTCATTATCGGGAGTATGGTAAGCCAGGCTGTTAATTTAAGTTGGTAAAGGTGGTATGTTTGTGCGAAATAACAAGAAAGCTGTTCAGTCCCAATTTTCAGTAAATAATGAAGTGACTTTACTGTTAAATCTGTGAGTATTGAATAAATGCATTCAGGTATTTAAATTTTTTAAATAAAGTTATGAAGGTGAGATATGTAATTACATATGAAGAGTAACGAGTTACTATGTTAGTAGTTAATTTTGAGTAACATTAATGAAAATAGAAAACTCAACACAGAAACACTCTAATGTATCTCTTCAGCACTTTGGAATTAGTAGAAGGGAGTTCAATTTTAGTATGTTAGCTCTTAAGGAAAATATGGAAAATTAGATCAACTGAAATTTTGACCTGTTAAGTCTTTTTTATTATTATCAAGGAAACATTGAATTTATTGAGATTCAAAGCACTCACATTGAAACTAATTGCACATCAGTGAATCACAATAAAACTGTGATTCTAATCCGTTGTGGAAGTTTAATCATAATAACTACTAATAAGCCGAGATTAAAATTTGTGAGCTAGTTTAAATTGAAGAACTGTTATTTTCTTTAAAAGAATTACGGTGACTAAAAATTAAATATTGATACAGTTTGGACTTTAATGCAATTCATAATGGTCTGCAGTTCTCTATGCAGGGAAAATAATTAATATTTAATAGTATACATATCTAGGAATTACATTTTTTGTTTACTTCTCAATTTACCCCAAAATCTTTTGAGATTAAGGCTTCGACGTTTGTTGTTTACTTCTAAATTTAGGTATATTTAATTTGTATCTTTTATTTAATTTTCTCTATTTATTCAAATATACCTTGATGCCTTGATGTTGCTAGGCATTTAAACATGCTGTGGCGGGTTAGTCTGTATTTTGAACTCACACCAAACAAAGACACTTGCTGGTTTAATCTGGTTTTTGAGATGGTTTGCACAAAATTAAAACCGCAGGCACACAATCGGCAAAAGGGTGTGCAACCTGTTACAATGAAAATACTGCTGTGAATCTCAAAAAAATCACTACTACTTTAATAGGAAAAGAATTACCAGGAGTAAATGCCAAATGTATTATTCAAGACTACACAATTGCCTTAATTGCTTTGTACTTGTAAGGTCATTTGAAGATAAGTGAATGACAATAAAACTGTGATTCTAAACACTAATTGTGTCCAAACACCTGCTCCACAATACTTCCAGTACTTACGGTAATCTGAACAAAATTATATAAATGTTCATATATCTGCTGCACCCCTCCAAGTGAATAGGAAAGAAAGTAAACCAACAAAGGTTTAGTTTCAGACTTTCTGAATTTTTGATTGCAAAAATTTGTCCCCTAAATTTGAAATTCTAAATTGACATTATATTTGCTATTATTCCCTCATGGACTGCAGAACTATTATAGTATGTAAACTTAATTTTAAACGCCAAAAATAGTACAACACATATTCTCTCTAATTTGAAAGAACACAAATACATGTTTTCAAGTTTCTAACGACCTACATTTTATTTAATACTAAAAGTCTTTGAAAGTTCTTAGAATACCAAGTGCCGATAATGCTTTAGGACATTTACAGGTGACTAGTTTTTCTATTTGATTGAAATCTTCAATAATACCTTCAGTTTAATAAAAAAATTAGCAACTAAAAGTGAAGTGTATTACAAACACTAATTAAGGTGTTGAAACTAAAGGTGTCTTTGAGAACGATTTCTTTGAATTATAAGATGAGATATTACCCAAAATGGGACTAAAATGTTTTAAAATTCCAAAATAGGACTGTCATGTTTTTATTCCCAAAATAGGACTAATTACTGTCATTTTTTGGCAGTACTTCAAACATGGCAGTATTTTCCAAACTTAGCAGTAATTACTCCTATTTTGGGAATAAAAAACATGTCAGACCTATTTTGGAATTTTTAAACTGTTTTAGTCCTATTTCGGGAACTTTCCCTTATAAGATTAAGGCTTAAACCGTTTTTTGGCGAGCGGAAGCGAAACAACAGCAAGCACGGATTCGGAGAAAATTGAATGTGGCGTTAGACATGTGATACTGAGTTAACGGGAATGTAATAGCAAAGCAGGGTTTTGCAGTTACAATAAAAAAATATCATCGGATGATCAAATTTCCATATTTGTCATGCTTATCATATTCCACATTTTAAAATATTTTAAGGGAAAGAATGAGAATAATAGTCTCAACAATTAGTAATCTGCTTATAATAAGGTCAACTATCGATTATTCATGTATATATAATACATAAAATATATTCACATCTCAAATTCTTGGTATTTTAATTTTCATCACCTATAAATCTATAACCAATATGAGTAAGAATGAAAGAAAATGTACATTTTGAAACAACTTTTCACGACTAAATTACTTTACAATTAAATTTTTTAATAAAATTACAACCATATGATTCATTGAGACTTTAAATTACTCAAACTAACATAACGATAGTACTCTCTCTATCCTTTATAATTTTGCCAAGTTTGGTCAACATGAAAAATAATAATGTAAAAACTGTGTAATTGAAATTTGTGTAGAAGAGAAATAAATAACATGAACCACAAAATAATTGATTGGAAGAGAAAATGAAAAATTTTAAAACTACGAAAAAAGATGACAAAATTATAAATGACAAAAATAGCACTCCGTATTTAACAAATCTCCATTTAGTTCTCTTATGTGCATATTCATGTTATCCTTTTGGTAAGTTAAATGTTTAAATATGTTTGAACAATAGTTAGACTATTTTACCGATAGATATAATTTATCCGAAGTTGTTCAATTCAATTTAAAGTCTAAAGATATAAATTGACTATCTAGTATTATAAAAAAAACAGATTGCTTCTTTTTTAAAGTAGAACCATAATCAGAATAAGTTTTCAAAAGCTGGTCTCCCACAGCTTTTAAAAAAAACTGATTCTAGGAGTAAATTAGAGCACCGGAATTACTTCTGCACTTTCACTCAAACACTCCAACTCCTGTTTCTACTCCCTAAAGGAACTGAAACATATTTAAGAATCGGATTGAAACACCCCTAAATATTCATTTCAGCATCTTTAATTTCTCTTTTGGCATTGCATGCTCCTATTCCTTGTACTACGTGAAAAAAAGGGAAGATTGAATCAACTCATTTGTTATATGGTTAATTTAAACTTAGATTGAAGGCATTCACCATCAATCAGTAAATAACTCACGCCTAGGTTTAAAAAACCAATTTTGCAACCAAATGTATCTTCTTTGCTCAATATCAAGGAATAACAGATCATCAAATTATTCAAATAACATACGTAATTTCAACTAAATCCCACTCTCTCACTCATCAAGGACAATCTATTATTTATGTGATTCCAGATCATAAGATTGTGTGGCTAAATATCATCATTCTTGTGTCTAAATTTTAAAAGATTAAAAATTTACACTCAAAATCAGTTGAATGACATCATCAATAACCATTCTACAATGGTCAAACATAAACAATCTCATGGCGAGGTCCATTTGCAGCAAAAACACTTCAACCACATACTATGATGGCAATATGTTTAGCAGACTTCGAGGACACTCTGATGTAAGGAAGATTTAATGGAAGCCATAGTTACATTTCTATGAATCTATGGCCTCGATTTATTTTGTTCTGATTCATGCATTCATCTAAAGACATGGTGGAAAAGTGCATTATGGAGAGGGACTTGTTTCTACCCCATGTCTGCCACTTCTTATCTTTTGACCTTTTTTATGAACATAAGATGCATATTCGTATAATTAATAGGGATTAAAACTTTTTAAGACAATTTTAGTCGGGAGTTATTTCAAAAATCAAAACACAAACATCAATGTGTTATGTGTTCCCAATTTCCGTGCAAAATATTCTAGTTTGATGAAATTTTTTGATCATCTTTTTCATCAAGTCTAGTTTACCCGTACCAAATTTCAGCTAAAAATTCAACCGAGAAGGCAGTCAAATGATTTTCCGAAATGTACTGTGTTGTTTAACTTCGCAGTTATCTTTAAAAAATCATGTGAATGCCTTCCCCGTTGAATTTTTAGCTGAAATTTAGTATGAGTAAACTAGACTTAATAAAGAAGATGCTCAAAAAATTTCATCAAAAAGTTCCACCGGGAACTGCCCCAATTGGCGACAGCCGGACAGAACCTCCTATATAAGAGGCTAATTGAACACTTTAAGTCAGTTCAAGGGCCTATTTGACCCTTTAGCCAAAAACATTCATTCGTGAAAATAATGGCTGAAAAGCTAGTTGCTAATATTAGGTAAGGTGTGAAAACCTTTTTTATGAACAAAAGATACATATTCATATAACTAAGTGGGATTAACTTTTTTTTAGACAATTTTAGCTGGGAGTTATTTCAAAACACAAACATCAACGTTTCTGTCGTGCCTGCACTCCATCGCTGGAAGAAACCCCCATCTACGGCCTGCCCAATCATTCCTCAGTGCACCTTTTTCAATCAATCTGCCTAAAGGTAGTTCAACCCATGGATCTTGCCCGCGATCTCACTGCATCTCCAGCTCTTGCTCCATTTTGTGGCCACAATTTCTCCACAAAATCCAAAACGCTGAAAACTGAACTGTTTTCCATTAGCGTTTTGAAGTACATTACAACTCTAAAACTTACCCTTCCATATTTTGCAGACCATTGCTTTCAAAATATTAATCTATTCCTCATTGATTTCAGAACATACCCTGGAGGAAGAGTATATCTATAGTGACAGTGTTTACCACAATTTCGACAGACCCAAAACCATCCATTCATTTCTTCTCCTCAGCATCCAAAAAGTATTTACAAACCTGCACATGAGAACTACGAATGATGATACCTCTACATTCTTCCTGAGAAATCCCACTCATTTCATTCAAGTCATATGGAAAGATCTTTTAACTAGGAGCAACATGTGAGGTCTACGTTGGAATAAAAAAGAGCTACCTGAATGGGTACAATTTAATCTTTTTATTTGATTTATATTTGTCTCATTTGAGGTAAACAATCACACAAAGCATGGGAAGAGCCCCCCCCCCCCCCCCAATGTAAAATATAACCCCTTTTCCCAACTTATCTATAATAGATGTGGACAACACAAAAGCAAAACACAAGGTAATAGTGGACCCTGAAACTTGATTGGTTCTTGCTGTACTCCTCACTTTTTATGCCACAAACTCCTCAAAAGTCTCTTGGCCCCAAACTCCAGATCCTCCGCTATTTCTTTTTTACTGTAAAAGAAGGCAGCAAATAAACAACAAAAACAAATTAAAATGAAATGTGGAGATTAACAAAGTTACATCCAGCAGAAATAACTAAATAAATACTTTAAAATAAAAAGAAAATCACCATGATCACATTTATATGCAAATGACAATCTTCTCTCCTTTTTTTGTATATTCAGATCGTGTGAGAACTTCCACTTGAAATCCTTTGTACATTTCCCAGCGTTGTAGAACTCACACAATATTGATTTGGATCCACACCAGTCACCAGACCATTATATTACATTTGGCTACACAATTAACACCATAAGATTAGCACATGAGTAAAAGGACTAAGAGATGTATATAATAAAAGCTTATGGGCTTTTCATGGATTTTATAATTTCATTATAAAATGTAACTTGATTAGATAAAAAATAATACCATTTGTAAACACAAAGAGATAATTTACGAGATGGAACTTTAGGTTGACTAGCAGCAACATTAAACAAGTCAAGGTGCTCCTTAGCTCTGGCCTTTTATGAGTTTATCCTTTCTTTTTCTGCACGAAAGTTCAAAATTGCATGTATATAAGAGCTAACTGCTAACGGTAGTTCAAATGCTCAATCATTAAGCAAGATGAATATATAGGCTAACCTTTTCCATCACTTGCAATGGAGCCAAAGATTTATTATATTTTGGCTTGACAATATGATGGAATAACGCAAAATGGCTCACTAAATTGTCTGCGCTTCTTTGTTATGAAGTAGCAGTTAGTCCATGCAATTTTGGATGCGATTTTCACTATGAGTCATCCGGAAACAATCTCTCTGAGCTTTAGTACAGGGGCAAGCCTGCGTACATCCGACCTCCGCTTACCCCATCGTAGGTAAATGAAAATGAAAATGATATACTCTGAATAAGCTAACTGCTAAAGGCAGTTCAAATGCTCAATCATTAAGCACGATGTATAAATGCATAAAAATAACATATCTGGAATCGAATACATTGAAATCCTCACAGACCTTTATACCAACCAGCGGGAAGAAGTGATATTGTTTGACAGGACAAAACTATGACCAGGATTCTACCATGACCTCCTATTAACAATCAATTCCCGTGTATCGGCGGCCCTTCGCCATAAACCTGCCAATGCGTATATGTTAGCCAAGACAACATAGTTGGCAGGCTCTTGGGGGTTCATAATAAATAAATTCTTCGTTGCTAACTCTCCATGATGCATATGTTCATGCACACTACACGCCCCAAGATGTGATCCCCAAAGAGAGGCACTCGGATTAACTTTCTCCCTACATATCAAACTATGGGCTTCTTCCAAACAACCCTCACGTGCCAAAAGGTCTACCATGCAAGCATAGTGCTTCGACGATGGGCAAATCTTATATTTTCGAACCATATTGTGGAAGAACTCCCAGCCTTGAGAAGTCAAGCCAGTATGACTACACGCAGAGAAAAGGGACAAGACCATGATATGATTTGGATAAATTCCTTGCAGTTCCATCTTCTTGTAAAGAGAAATTGCGTTCTCAGTATGGCCGTGCACACCATATCCAGATATCATTGATGTCCATGAGATTTCATTCTTCTCTTCCATGGAATGAAAAATTCTCTTAGCAGCCTCAATCTCACCTGCTTTTGTGTACATGGCAATCAAAGAGTTTCCCAAGGCTACATCATGTTTATTTTGATATTTCAACGTAAGAGTATGCACCTGCCTTCCTAGACTCAATAATGCTGATTTAGAGCACAAACTAAGCATTGAGCACAATATTACACTATTAATTTCCACGTGCAATCGGTTCAACTCAAAAAAGAGATTCATGCATTCATCAATGCCTTTAACTTGACGAGCATATCGCATAATTAATGCAGAGCATGATATGATATCTATCTTCTTCATACTTCTATAAAGACGATTTGCACCAGCTACGTTCCCATACTTCACATAGGCATCAACTAGAGATCCAATAGGCACATTATTAGACTCATACCCTAATTGAACAATGATGCCATGTATACTGCCAATAATCACAAGTCCATCGACTCTATAACATCCAAATGAATTTCTCAGAATACTCCCAAACGTGAAGCAATCAGGATACATACCTACATATAAGCAACATATTCATTCTATAAGGAAAAAATTTATAAGAAAGCCTATTTTGTCAACCTGCATACTACTCCCTAGATTCCACAATAAAGTTAATAGTTGTTTTGGCGTACTTTAGTAAAAAAAAGTAGTTAAGATAGAAATAAGTGCCAAAATATATTCTATAAATTCCTATACAACATTCCAATTTTTCTTTTTTTGTTCGACCCCAATATCTTTTGGGACTAAGGCTTAGATGTTGTTGTTGTTGTTCGTCCCTAAATAAAATTAACCTTTTCTTACTTAGCAGCCAAATAAGTTTTTTTTCTTATTTAGTAGCTAAATAAGATATTTTCTTATTTAGCAGCTAAATAAGTTATCTTCTTTTTCCCAGTTTCGCTATATAAGTTGTTATCTTACTACCCACATGCATATATCCATCTATCACCACTAATTACTCAAACCTCTTAGAGCATCTTCAATGCTCTTCTTTTAAGAGGAACAAAATTTTGCCAAATGTCAATAGAAGAGAGCAATGTTGATCCACATAATATACAAATTAAAAGAAAGGCATAAATGACTCCCAAAGCATAATGTTAACAACCTGAAGTTATCCGTGCGTCATTTATTTTATGCCCTGTAAAATCTGCAAATATATTGGATGAATACAATGAACCAAATTAAAAGAAAAATAATTATAGACAAATTCTTCTATAGCATAAGAAGGAGAGAAAACTAGTCAATATGAAATATTTACGCCAAGATAAATACGTATGAGTGAAGATGTAAATTCGGATCCATACGAAAAGAATTTTTAATTTGAAATTCATAGAAAAAATCAACAAGGGTTTGATGGCAGGAAGACACATGTCTTCTTTTATAAAAGATAATGATAAGTATATATAAATATTTATGTATATATATGTCGTGTATATATATGTATGAACATGCAGTTTCTCTCTACTATGTGCGACATAATACGGGTAAAACACAAAAGTTGGTTTAATTTAGATGAGTCAGCATGTTTAACATGCTTTCTGGAATTCGAAAGTGGGTTCAAAAGTATTAGTTCCATGTCAGCTTAACAAGGCAAATGAAAGAATGCATTGGAGATTAAACAAGCGATCACACTTTTAAAACTTGAATATGTGGCAAATTTTCACTCCGTTAAAAGAGAGCGTTGGAGATGCTCCTATTAGAAGGGAAAAGAGGCAAACTAAATGTCAAATAATGTCAAATGTTCACAAAGCATGAGCGAAGCAATATTTAAGCGTTGATATGTGGAGAAAATCTAAATCATATGAAGTAACAATTAAGTGGAAAAAATTCACCCAACTAGGAGAAAACTAAAATGTTGACAAAGCATGAGTGAAGCAATATTTAGGCGTTGATATGATGGAGAAATCTAAATCATACTCCCTCCGGTTCACATTCTTCTTTACACTTTCCTTTTTTGTCAGTACCACATTCTTCTTTACACTTCCTTATTTGCCTTATTTGGCAAACAAATCTACATAAAACAGTTCCAAACAGTGTCCAAACAGTGCCAAACAGTGTACTCTACAGTAAAGTCAAATTTATTTTCTTAAAACTTATGAAGTCAAAGTGTCAAGGAGATTATGAACCGGAGGGAGTATGAAACTTATGAAGTCAAAGTGTCAAGGAGATTATGAACCGGAGGGAGTATGAAGTAAAAATTAAGTGGAGAAAATTCACCCAATCTATTTGTGACAAATATTTTTGGCATTATAGCAACAGTACACTAGGGGAAAACTAAAGCTTTCGTAATAAGTGTAGCTTTTACGGGGGAGTATATTATAGTAATTGAGGATGTTTTTACTTGGACTGTAATTTGTCCCAAACCAGACCAGACCAGACTAGTTCAGACCAGACCAGACTAGACCAGACTTGGATAGTTATAAAAATACAAAGAAACCAGACCTTACCAGACCAGACCAGTTCAGACCAGACCAGACCAGACCAGACCAGACCAGACCAGCAAATTACAGTCCAAGTAAAAACATCCTGAGTAGTCATGAAGAATTACATTTACCAATCTATTCGTGACAAATATTTTTGGCATTATAGCAACAGTACAATATATAAATATCGACTCGAGTTGAACTCTTGAAGATTATTTTGGAACTGCTATATAAGTGAAGCTTTTATAGGGCACAGAGTGCTAAATGAGCAGCCAAAAAGAATCATGGCTAGTTTTTTGTATAATATAAAAAAGCATACATCCACGAATATGAACTGGATTTATAATAGTAGGAAACCCAAAAGTGTCAAAAGTTATACCTTCTCTTAGCATCGAGTGGAACATAAAAATTGCATGATCGTAGAATTTCTGAAAGGAATATCCACCAATCAATGTATTCCATGAAACCAAATCTCTCTCCAACATGGAATCAAACACAAGACGAGCATCGTTTATTTCCCCACAATTGGAGTGGAAATCAAACAATGCATTCTGCACAAATAATTTTTTAGCCAATCTGCTCTTCTCGACACGCCCTTGTACTTGTTTACCTTGATCCAAACCCAACAAATTGGTGCAGGCACTCAAAACATTTCCATATGTAAATTGATTCCCACCCCTCATGGTGCATTGTGTGAAATAATTGGAAAGGGTACTCCAATATGCCTAACTAGATATTAGGCATATTTCTAATTAGATATTAGGCTATTACACCCCCTCAAACTGTGTGGGAGATACAAGTATACAACGCGCAGGTTGTCTTTTAAAAAAATTGAAATTGCTGACTAGAAAGACTCTTCTTATTAAATACATCCGACATCTGAAGACTAGGAGACACATATTTGACAATAAGATCTCCACGAGCAAGTAGGTTGTTTCTTGGACTTCCTAGAAACCATATTAGGACCAAGAAATACAACAAACCGTGACGTAGATCTGCAACCGGATGTCCAATGTATGTCAGAGTAGGCTGTCAGTACTGCTCCATGATCTGGAGACCCCTAAAGATACTTTGAGCAAGAGCAGTGAACGAAGTGGGCAACAGAGAGGATCCCGGCGACGACCAACTGGCCGAAAGAAGACGATGGGATCATGTCAGGGTCGTCGGAGAGAGCAGGACCGGTGTAACGCTCTATAACAACTGTGTGAGCAGCCAAACTAGACTCGGTTAGAGAATGGACGTATGTGTCATCCACGAAGCAGAACGGCGCCGTCTGCGAAGCAGGTGAGATGGGCGGCATTTCAATCGCGCTCAGCACAAGTTCGGTCACCGGCGTTGACACGGCGGCGTGACGGTCGAAGAGGCGGCAGCGGTAGAGTTATGGGAAGCCATAGGATCAAAAAAAAAATTAAGATTGGCTAAAACCTAGAGCTCTTGATATCACGTGAGAATATGACAGGCTTACCAAAGTGGAAACTCTAGATGTCATATATATAATAAAATATGTCCTGATTACAATAGGAAACCTAATTAATATGGAAACCTAATTAATGGTATTAATTATACTATTAACTATTTTGTCAATACCATTAACCAAAATTCATTTAACACAAAACAATTAACCAAATAATCACCATGACTGAGGAAACAATAAACCTGGCAAGTTAGTAAACATTTGGTTCTTTAAACAAAAAAAAAGCATAAGTTGTTGAAAATTAAAATAAAAATATCAGTGAGCACTCTTTAGATTTGCAAGTTTTCTCTTTGCATCTCCGCAATGGCTTCTTCTTAATAGTTGTTATGTAATTAGTTAAAGAGAAAAGGGTCAAATAAGGCCTTCTACTATTATGAAATCGTCACATAGGACCATGTACTCAATAAAGTGTCATATAGATACGTCTACTTGTAAAAAGCAATCAAATGAGTCCTAATGACCCGTTGACAACCTCTTAATCCAGATTTTAACATACTTTTTAGAATAGATTATACGACAAACGTTGAATATTTAACTAAGATTGGTTGAAATACAAGTAAAAAAAGTCGACATGTAAGCTAAAATCGGGATTAAGAGGTTGTCAACGGGCCGTTAGGACTCATTTGATTGCTTTTTACAAGTAGACGTATCTATATGACATTTTATTGAGTACATGACCCTATGTGACGATTTCATAATAGTAGAAGGCCTAATTTGACCCTTTTCTCTTAGTTAAAATTTGGTTCGTATTAACTAATACGTCTCTTTCATAGCATCAACCTTTTCAACATCTATATCAAAATCTTTTCAAGCTTAGAACTTTTGCACAATTTGATAGACTTGAATTTTGACTAGAATCTCAAGAAATATTTAGCTAGTCAATTATTTTTATTTATAGAAGGTAAATATGTAATAAAAATAAGTATATACTCAATTATCAAACTACTTAAATATTTGGCTATCGGTTAAATGATGGAATGATGATTTCAAAATCGTAATCGTACCAGAAATTGTTTTTTTCTTTCAATCGGTTAATTGTACCACGAGTGTTAAAAGGTTCTATTCAGGTAACAAAAAAACCAGTTTTTCAGTTCGTTTTTCTAATTGTTATCCACAATATCTTACGCTCTCCACCCTTTCAAATACATTTTATAATTATAGTATACCGTAATAGACATATTGATTTCATAATTTCTCTATCAGAAAAAGATCTCGCACCGGTATTACTGCGAGAGAATAAACTATTGCAGAAAACTCCAGAGAGTGCCGAATATTTTGAAAGAGGGGGTCAAGGAAAAGTTTTTAAGATTACTTTAGAAGAAAGTAATGCTTGGGGAGTGGCCTCGGGGGCCTATGGTTTCAAGATACCAAACGAACTTGGTGCAAAGCTATTTTTGGCATTGAACGAATTATATTTTACTAATGATAGGTTTGGATTGTTGGTTTTTCTTCAATTCAATTCTTATTGTTATTACTATTATTTCAGGGGTGAAATTTAATATCTCCAAAGTCTTCAATTCCCCCTATCATTGAACTAGTGGGTTCTCCAAACACCCATTAGGTGCCGAATTGATGGTAACAAAATGGGCTGCATGAGGGAAGTTTGCATGCATATTTGTTAAAAAAAGTGATAGACTGACCGGTAGTTCAAAAAATCCTGAGGGAAATCACATATGCTTTACAACTTTTTCATCACACGGGATATACAATGATGGACTTGGACCCGTAGAATATTGTCCTGGATGAAGTAAATACAATTCAGTACCTTTTTTTATTTTAAGGGATAAGTGTTAATTAAACTATTCTGACATAAAGGATATCAATAGGCAACCGTAGTACATAATGTTTTTAAATTGTAAGTTAGGGGCAACTTTGGTTTTGCCCTCTTTTGACTTTAGGAAAAAATCTGTAACTTTAGAATGAATTGTTAGTATTGCATGTTATGTCGTAAAAGCATATTATCTTAAGATAATATGATTTTATACAGTTGGCTAAAATACTATATCCTTATTTTACTATTTATACGGTTGAGCTGTAGTCCATTCAATCTTAAGATAGTATGCTTTTATGACATATCATGCAATATTAACAACTCATGCTAAAGTTAAATAATCTTTCCTAAAGTCAAAAGCGGGCAAAACCAAAGTTGCCCCTAACTTACAATCTAAAAAGTTATGTACCACGGTTGTCTATTGATATTGTTTATGGCAGAATAGTTCAATTAACATTTATCTCTTAAATAAAAAGGGTAATGAATTGAATTTCCTTAATCCAGGACAATATTTTTCGGATCCAGGTCTATCATTGCATATCACGTGTGATGAATAAGTTGCAAAGCATACACGATTGCCCTCAGAATTTTTCGAACTACAGGCCAGTCTACCTCTTTTTCTAACAAATACGCATGCAAACTTCCTCCTGCAGTCCATTTTGTTACCATTAATTCTGCACCTTTTTCAAGTGGGAGCTTGGAGAACCTCACTAGTTCAACGATAGAGGGGTACTGAACATTTTGGAGACATCCAATTTCAGCTTGAAATAATAATAATAAGAATAATGATAAGAATTCAATTGAAGAAAAATAAACAATCTAAACGTATCATTAGTAAAATATAATTAATCTAATACCAAAAGTAGCTTTATACTACCAAGTTCGTTTGGTATCTTGAAACCATAGACCCCTGAGGGCAGTCCCCGAGCATTACTTTCTTCTAAAGTTACCTTGAAAACTTTTCCTTGACCCCCTCTTTCAACATATTAGGCACTCTCTACAGTTCTCTGCAATAGTTTTTCTCTCGCGGTAATACCGGTGCGAGATCTTTTCCCGATAAAGAAATTATGAAATCAATATGTCTATTATGATATACTATAATTATAAAAGGTATTTGAAAGGGCGGGCCGCGTAAGATAGTGTGGATAACAATTAGAAAAAGGGAACTGAAAAACTAGTTTTTTGTTAACTGAATAGAACCTTTTAAAACTCGTGGTACAGTTAATCGATTGAAAGAAAAAACAATTTGTGGTATGATTATGATTTTGAAATTATGATTCGATTGGTTAACCGATAGCCAAATATTTAAGAATCTTAATATTTGAGTATATACTTACTTTTATTATATATTTACCTTTTATAAGTAAAAATAATTGACTATCTAATATTTTCCAAACCTAAGATTCTAGTCAAAATATCAGAAGCTTGATATTTGAGTAATACGAAGTATTTTCTATTTATAATGCATTTGTATCAACATCATATGGACAATTGGACATATATATTTATTTTCATTCTTTTTATAGGACGACAGAGAGCATAATTGCATAAATATATACTACCGTTTAACATATGCTAGACTGCAATGCTGCATTACTCTTTCTATTTTCATACTCTTACTATTATTATTTTATTATATACGAGTTTTAGTAAGGATTAGTGCCCAATGGTTATAAACACTGTTTTCTTATTTAACACAAAATTTGACAGTTTTGGGAAATGCATCTTGTAGCTAATCTGCCAAACTGAGACAAAGATTATGGTGTACATTCCTTTTTCATTAACTTAACTATGTTTTCTTTTGGAATGAAATTTGTTGGTCTAGTCTAGTCTGGTCTGTTTAAGTCTGGTCTGGCCTGATCTGTTTAAGTCTGGTCTGATCTGGGACTGAAAACAGTCCAAAAGAAAACATCCTTAGTTAACTAACATATACAGGCCTGACCTGTTTTGGCCCCTGCTCTAGCATTTGGAATTATACTCCATCATGTAGTGTTTTCAATCACATAATTCATATATTATTACTACGTTATTATGTTTCGAAATTTGCAAATCTAGATTTCAATTCATAAATGATATCAGACAACTACACAAGTAATTCATCTATAACCTATTAACCCTTTCAAACATGAAAAAATTATACCACAATTTAGTAAAATAAAATTGAAATTTAAAAAATTACAAAGGTTAATAACTTACCCTGCGGCTGACTAAGGTTTAATGGGTCTAGGCCGCTAAGTGGAGTAACCGGTAGAATGGAGCATTAGAGCGGGACAGCATGGGCAGCCCGGCAAGGATGGCTGGACACGGTGAGCGGGGCTAGCAAGTCTCACCTCTCACGTTTCCGCATTGACAGGAAGAAAAGAATAAATAGAAGAACGAAGGAACCATGTTTCTCCAGGGTTTGGGACTGGACTGGGCTGAATTATTTTTTGGACTGGGCCCCTAACTCTATTTTTTGATACTGTATATCCTGTCTTGACTCTTGACTAGCACGGCTAGAAACAGAAACGAGTGAAAGAGCATTTGACCTGAAACTATTTTAATTTTTAGATAATTTAGGATATTTTTCTTGAAATTAAATTTGATGGTCTGATCTTATTTGAACTAATAGGGTATGACAAATGTATGGTTTCTGTATACTTTATAACTATGAAAGTCTGGTCTGATCTGATATAGTATCGTCTGACTATTTAAGCTTGATTTGATTTGATCTAATATTAGACTGAAAATAGTCCAAGTAAAAACATTCGTAAAATGCTTTTGAAAATTGTCTTCAGATATAATATTCATTTTAAGATGACTTGTATTGTAATTACTCAAATCCCGCTAGTTGTTTGCAGAAGATCGAGCTAGCTTTTGCCTAGAGTGTTGCCCGAGATTGAAAGATTGTACTTGATTTTCATCAAATGAATGAGTATAATTAAGATGAGAAAAGTTCGTGTCAGGACCTCTAAAAACGGACCTCCGTACGGACCTCGGCGTTTGGGCCCCTTCCCGGTGGAATTTTTTTATGAAACTTTTTAAGCATGTTCTTCATCAAGTCTAGTTTATCCACACCCAATTTCAGCTAAAAAATCCATCGGGAAGACAGTCAAATGATTTTTGGAAGTTAACTGCATTTTATATGTATATAAAGTGCGCAGTTAACTTCCAAAAATCATTTGACTGCCTTCCCGATAGAATTTTTAGCTGAAATTTGGTGTGAATAAATTAGACTTGATGAAGAACATGCTCAAAAAGTTTCATCAAAAAATTTCAACGGGAATATGCCAAAACATTGAGGTCTGTACGGAGGTCCGTTTCCGGACGATCCTGACAGGAAGACTACTCTAATTAAGATTATATATGATTAAAACTCAGATCTAAAGGATTAATGAGATTTTTCCTATTGGTGCATTTTTTATTAGATACTAAAATTAGATAAATAAAATTCAAATACATGCTCCCAAGAAACCGCTTAGACGCTTAGTCCAACCTTGCACGACACGTACCTGTTTCATACTTTTTCTAGTATTCGTTTTTGTAGATTTAGTGTGCTTATATATGCATGTTTAGCACGTAACGCGACTAATGTCTATGCTCGATCGTATAGTTCATGTATGATGTTATGCAAATCCAGAGGTTTGAATCCTTTGTCAATCCAATTTCATTTAACTGTGACATAAGTAACGCGAAAACTCTCCCAAAAAAGTACGTTCTCATTTCAAAAACTCTACAAAACTCTTTGAAAATTCACGAAACAATTGTTTCTTCGAGTAGGAGATGAAGTTTCTCATTTCTCGTTTCCTCCCAAATTTCATGTTTCCATGCAACATAGACTATTCCATGTCTGTTTTACATTTTCAAACAAAAATGAGACCCCATTCTCGGGTTCCCAGAATTCAAGCCAAAATAAGTATATGAGATGATGTAAATTGAATTTTAATCACAAAACAATTGAGAGAAAATGAGTTCAAATGCAAATTTTTGTTTGAAATTTAACTTGGGGATCTTTTTCGGTTTTTAAAACAATCTAATACTCCCTCTGTCCCGAAATAGTTGGCCAAAGTTGACTTTCACGTGGATTAATAAAGTAAAAATTGTGTGGATGAAATTTGTGCAGAGAAAAGAGAATTAACTTTAGCCACATATTCCTTACTTTAAATGGAAATGACAAATCTTTTTGGTACATCCAAAAAATGAAATTTGGCCGACCTTTTTGGGACGGAGGGAGTATTTTATAGATTGTTGTTGTTGTCGTCCAAGTAGTAACGCCTAAGTCTAAATTAAGTGCCTAACCATCATCAATAATTTAAGAGAAACGGGGCAAATAAGCCCACATGTTAATAAAAAAAGGGTCAAATAAGACCTTATATAAGAGGTTCTGTCCGGCCGTTGCCATTTGGAGCGGTTTCCGGTGGAATTTTTTGATAAATTTTTTTGAACATCTTAAACATTAAGTCTAGTTTACTCAGACCAAATTTCAGCTAAAACTTCAATCGGGAAGACATTCAAATGAATTCTTGAAGATAGCTGCGCCAAATGGCGACGGCCGGACAGAGCTTCCTATATAAGAACTTATTTGACCTTTTTGTTTAGTACGTGAGCTTATTTGCTTCTTTTCTCATAATTTAATAAGATTTGGTCCCTTGTTCAACACTTTTTCCCATGTTTTTAATTTAATTTTCATAAAGCTTGTAGTTGAAGCGCAGCTGCACGGCCTATTATGGAAGGATACAATAAACTTTGACAAAAGGTGAGACAACCAAAGAATGTTACCAAAAGAACATTAATGATTCTTTTGAACAAAGAATATTGAACGTTAATGATAAAAAGTGTGATTTGTCTTATTGAGTTTGCTTTCTACAATCCCTAAACTATTTTGACTTGTCAAAAAAGCCACTCGCTCTGTTTATTGTCCGATGATATGGAAGTAGGAACTTATAAATTTCGAAGAGCCTATATTTAAGTTAATGTTAATTTATAAAGCTTTTAAGGATATTTTTAGACTGTTTTCAGTTCCAAAGAAGAACTGATCAGACCAGAATTAAACAGACGATATCAAATCAAACCTGAATTTCTTAGTTATAAAATACAAAGAGACCAGAAGTTTATCAGATCAGATCAGACCATTCAGATCAAACTAGACCAAACTTAAGTAGACATAACTAAACCATCAAATTTCAGTCCAGATATAAACATTCTAAGTGCCACATCTTAGTTGGTTAGCAGTGTTTATTGACACCTTTTAGAATAGTAACTAATCCCCTCATCCCGACAAATTTTACAAACTTTTCTTGTTTAGGTGTCCGAAAAGCTTTATTGCTTTAATATTACCATTTAAAATATTAATAATAATTATACGGTTCATATTATTTCTCTCTCATCTATAAAGATTTCATTGACAATATTTATTTTATTAGTTCATTTACAAGTCAAAGATAAACAAATATTTTTTGAATGAATCGATTTTTTATAAAATCGAACAAAATATTTATTTCTATTCCCAAAACCATCGTTACATGCTCATTTAATCATTTATTAATGGAAAATTTGGCAAGAATGATCTCACCTTTCACTGGTCTTCTCATAATAATCTCACATTTACATAATCTAAGAATAATCCCAACTTTGCACCTCATCCAATGAAAGAAGATGAGGTGCAAAGGTGGGATTATTCTTGGATTATGTAAAGGTGGGATTATTATGAGAAGATCAGTGAAAGGTGCGATTATTCTTATCAATTTTCCCTTTATCAATTCGGTTAAAGCTATGTTTGTTAAGCAATTTCAGCAAATAATGAGCTGAAAATTTCAGCAAATAATGAGCTGAAATGTTCTAATTTCGGTTAATTTGTTGGATAATCTTAACGAATTAACGTTTCCAGTAATCTTCTCTAATCAAAACAAACACAATAAAATTAACAAGTATGAAAGAAGATTTACTTACTTGAAGGAAATCATATCTTGTTCGTTGATGAAACCATGATTCCCATTATAGTGCCTTATTAGTGATGGAGGATTGATCGATGATAATGATGTTATATCTCATAGAAGTGTTATGGTGTTATATCCCAAAAAACACAATTTCTATTCCCAAACCATTGTGTTTATGTTCACTTTCAAAATTCACTCCCTTGAGCACATGAGTGAAGTCAGAACAATGAGCCGGACTATATTGATACAAAGAATATTCTTGAAAAAAATACGAAAAAAAACATCCAAAAATAAAGACATTTTCTAAATTTGGAGTGGGCCAGAGCCTAGTTTGACCCTCGGCCTCTAGTTCCGCCCCTGTTTGAGCATAAAGATCTTGTATGTACCCCGGGTACCTAACTCTTTCACTTTCAATCAAAGGTAAGGGTGACAGTTTTTAAATTAAAGAGAAAGTTCTTGAAATAAGAGTAATTACTATTAAATGGTTACAACACCAGAGATTTACATGACAATATTTAATGTCATTAATGACTGACATTTTTCAATCATAATAATAACAACTCTTATTTCAAAAAAAATCATTGCAATTTCCCTAAATTAAAACGGCATATGGTTGTTGAGAAAAGGTTTCACCATCCAAGTGTTCCTCATATTAAACATTTAGGACATTTTACTTCACGGGTTACTAAACGGTGCTTATTAAGACCCGCATTAATAAGCGGTGCATAAAATAAGCAATGTTGTAAGATCGTGTTTACTTCAATAGGTTTAAAACTTCGTTTAACAGTAAAATGACCAAAATAACCCTACACATTATATAGACACACAAGCATTCATGAACACAAGTATATAATAAAATATGTGGGGTCACCTCGTACGTGTACCCATACCCCCTAACCCCTTACCCCACCCCGCCCACCCCCTAACCCCTACCCATACCCTACCTTACACCCTATCCTACAATACTCCTAACCCTACCCTACCTTACGTCGAATCCACCCTACTCCTACCCCACCCTACCCTGTCATGCCCCAGCCTTGCCCTACCCTACCCCAACCTTGACCCCACCCTACCCACAATCCCCGCAGTTACCCATAACCACAACTCAACCCCACTCCCTTACACCACTTGCCCCTATCTCGGCCCCACTCCGATCCCAACCCCAATCTGCACCCAACTCTACCCCACTCCCCGCCATACCCCCTACCACATGCCCTTACCTTGGCCCCACCCCTACCGCCATCCTACCCCGGGCTCGGGGGTGGGACCAGGGGGTAGGGGGTCGGGGTAGGGTGGTAAGGGCCTAAGGGTTAGGGGGTAGGCCGATGGTTTAGGGTGCTGGGGTTGGGTTGGCAAGGGTGGGGTGGGATCGGGGTAAAGTAGGGTAGGGGTAAGACTTGAGTAGTGTAGGACAAGGTGGGGTCGGGGGTGAGGGCTGATGTGGTAGGGGGTAAGGGTAGGGGGTTGGGGTAAGGTGGTAAGGGCCGAGTGGTAAGGGCTGAGGGGTAAGGGGTAGGGGTTTGGCAAGGGTGGGGTGGGGTCGAGGTCAGGGTCGGTGTAAGGTAGGGTAGGGTAGGGGTCGGAGTAGGGTAGGACAGGGTGGGGTGGGGGCCAATGAGGTAAGGGTTAGGGGTTGGGGTTGGGTGGTAAGGGCCTAGGGGTAGGGGAGGGCGGGGTAGGGGCCGATGTGGTAGAGTTGGGGTAGGGTGGTAAGGGCCTGGGGGTGGGGGTAAGGGGGCCTAGGGTGGGGTCGGGGTAAAGTAGGGTAAGGTAGGGTAGGGTAGTAAGGTGGGGTCGGGGTAAGGTAGGGTGGGGTCGGGGTGGGGTAGCGGGGTAACAATAGGGCAGGGGTAAGGGGTAAATTCGGAAACTGGAAAAGCTTAAAGTGCAACTTAATTAATACATGGGGGGTGATATGCTTAGTAACCAACACTTTAAGCACCTCTTTCGGTTAGTAAACGGCTTTTTAAGCAGCGTGCATGTTTACTTCACTTGTCTTACTAGCCTAACTGTAACTTTAGCAACGAAGTAAACACCTCCTTAATGTTTATTGAATCACTTCTCTCATATATACTTTAATGTTTTATGATTTTGTCCCTAAGGACTCTCACTGACCAATTTATGCAACTTAGCTGGTTATATATTTAAGAGATAAGTGTCAGATTGGCCCTCCTAGTTTGAATGGAAAGTCAATTTAGCCCTCCTACTTAAGTTTCATCAATTAGATCCTCCTACTTTATAATTTTCATCAAAACCGACTTTTAGCAGGTAACCTGCCCCTCAGCATGTTAACTGCAAACGTGGCACACACGTGGCCTGACACAGCACACATGTGGCGGCCATGTCATTTTTTTCTTTTCTTTTCCACTTTTTTTTGCCTTTTTTCTTTTCTTTCCCTCCATCTTTCTTCTTCTCCATTGCAGCAGTGAGGTCGCAGGCAGGTGAACAGTAGCAGCCGGAATTGAAGGTGCTCGGAAAATTAAACTAAAAATATGTGAAGGTGCGCCTCTTCACGGAGACCTCGTTTACATATTCTATATTTTCCGACCGAGCCCTGAAGTCGCCGAAAAAAATGGCGAAGGAGTCCAAAAATGAGAAATGTGAGCAGATTCCGGCCAACTACAAACCAGCCCCCAAAACTGGTGCTCACCTGCTCAAAATTGATAGGGAGAGGCTTCCCTAGCTAGATAACTCTAATCTAGTCTCAAAATAAAAAAACAATCGCCTATATTTGAGTTATGAGCAAAAACTGATCTCCGATTTAAGAGTGTTTCCGGCGATATTTATCAGTCATAGGCGGGGTAATAAAGAAAGGGGTCGGGAAAGAGACAAAATAAATAAATAAAGACAATCACAGCAAGATTTCACCATTTGCAAAGAAAATGAAGTTTTGCAGGTTTGGAGGAGGAAGAACAATGGGGAAAGGGGGGTCTGGGAAAGGAAAGAAAAGGAAAAGAGAAAAGGAAAAAGAAAAAGTGATGTAGTTGCCACGTGTGTGCTGTGTCAGGTCACGCGAGTGTCACGTCAGCAGGTAACCTGCTGACTGGCGGATTACCTGCTACGAGCACTTAATTGTTTTTTCGCACAAACTTGGAGGGCGACACTCTTCTCTATATTTAAAACAGGTTTAAGAACATTGTTTTGTTAATGTAAGAAATGAAGGCCCACAATTGGTGAAGTCACACATGCAACATTTTGCCTCGCTGGTCCATGTTCAAGATGAGCCCATTTTGCTGTTCTCAACGAGCAAGAGGACAGGTTTCGGAATTATTTCAGAAGGTGCGTACTGTACATTCACCCTCGACGCACGTTCTGGACTTCTGGAATTCACCACCCCATTTCTTTCTCCCCTGCAGCCGGCCGGCCGGTCTACGCATCCGCACATCGGTTCTGGTCACAATCCAATCAGGTGACTTTCAGATTGTTTCATTCTCTCAATTACACGCAAAGAGATCGAATTGAGCGCGGCTGGGGATAGAGTTGGATGATAATCAGAGATGCCTCCGAAGCAGCAAGCTAAAGCCGATGTAGCGAAGAAGCAGAAGGTTGTTGAAGACAAGACCTTCGGTCTTAAGAACAAAAACAAGTCCAAAACCGTCCAGAAATACGTCCAGGCCCTCAAGCAGAACGTGCAGCCTAAGACTGACCCCAAAAAGGTCGATGCCAAGGTGTGTGTGGAAATCAATTTTTCGATTTCAGATGTGTTATTTTATGTATTTATTGGTTGTGTTTATTGATTGAGCTGCGGCTAGCCCGTATTTTTATGCAATTTTTAACGTTCGTGCAGAAAAAGAAAGAAGACGAAAAGGCTAGAGAGAAGGAGCTCAATGACTTGTTTAAGGTTGCTGTTAGTCAGCCTAAAGTTCCACCTGGTAAATGATCTCTTTGTTTTTACTAACAGTGTTATTGTTTTGAGCCAGTCTAGTTGCATTGTTTTTGCCTCTCGATGCTCATCCAGGTAAATCATTGGTTTAGTACTTGAGTAACATTACTAACATAGTATCACAAAATTTCAATTCTTTTATAGAAAGCTGATAAACATGCGTTCTTCCTGTTGGACTAAATTGTGATACATTTCTTTCTATAGGACTAGATTGTGATCATACAATTCTTCAAATAGGAGCATTGTTCTTTAATACAATACTTGCACTCCTAATAGAAGAAGTCTGAGCTGCTTTTATTCATTATTCCAGGATTGAATATGTCCTATTTTAGCACAATGCTACAGTACTCCTATTTGGGCACATTACCCATCTTTTACTCCTATGTGCAGTAATTTTGTTTCTTTCAAGCTTGGAAAATACTGCCTTGCTTGAAGTATGACAATGCCAAAACCTGGCAGTATTTACTTCTTTTTAGGGAATATAAACATGACAACTCTAGTTTAGAATTCACAAACATTTTTACTCCTATTTAGAGCAATTTCTTTTTGGGAGAATTTGACTTTGCACCCCACTTTTTGGGTGATATTGGACTTTGCACCCCATTTTAAAAAACATTTGACTTTGCACCCTATCATCTAAAATTTGTGAAGGAAAATTTCAAAATAGGGTGCAAAGTCAAAGGATTTTGAAGTGAAATGGGGTGCAAAATCAAAGTTTTTATAAAATGGGGTGCAAAGTCCAATTTCATCCCAAATGTGGGGTGCAAAGTCAAATTCCCCCTTTCTTTTTAAGTTTTTTAATAGCAGTTTTTCTTTACCATCATTTGTTGAATGTTATATTACTGCTATGTATTGTATATTCATATTGTATATTCCATAGAAAGCTCAGAACCTTTAATTAAATTAATCGCCTAGGTCATTTACTCATTTGCCAATCTTATGCTGTTAATTGAGTAGCTAATTGTAATATAATGGTCAGGTGTGGATCCGAAGTCAATATTGTGTGAGTTCTTCAAAGCCGGACAATGCACCAAGGGTTTCAAGTGCAAGTTCTCACATGATTTGAATATTCAGAGAAAAGGAGAGAAGATCGACATCTACAGTGATAAACGTGATAATGGTGATTCACTTATTATTGCAACTTATAAGTCTAGTATTATTTAGTTATTTATGTTGGATGTAACTTTGTTAATCTTTGAATGTCATTTAAAGTTGTTGTTCTTTATTTGCTGCCTCCTTTTACAATAAAAAAGAAACAATGGAGGATTGGGACCAAGAAACTTTGGAGAAGGTCGTGGCATCAAAAAGTGAGGAATATAACAAGAACAAACCAACAGATATTGTAAGCATTTAGCAATTCCACTTTTACGCTGTTTTTTGCTCTTGTATTGTGCTCCTATCCTTCATGATAAGTCTGGGAATAGTGATTATTCTCTACATATATGGTGAAAGCTCTTCCCATGCGTTGTTTGTAATTGTTAACTCCAAGCCAAAAATTGTAAACCATTAAGAAGATGAAAATGTACCCAACATGGTCTCTCACTCTCTCAATATGTTTTTGTACGTTTAACATTCCGATTCCAACATAGACCTCACCTAGTTGCTGCTAGACGAAAGCTTTTACAACTATGACTTGAATGAAATGAGTGGATTTGTCAGGACCTAGGTAGTTAACTCGCTACTCGGTAGTAACTCGGTCAAGGGCCGAGTAGTGAGTAGGACCGATTACTCGGGATTACTCGGTGATTACTCGGTCATGTATTAATTAAATTTGATAATATATTTGCTAGATATTTAGAAATATAATAGTCTTAAAATAGTCTTAAAATTGTTTTAAAAAGCATAGAAATGAATAAAAATATACAAATCCTATTATCCTAATGATGGAGTAGCAAAAGTCATAAATATTCTAAGTTTTCAAAATTTAAATTTTATAAGTGATCAAAATTTAATGTCTATTGTTGAAATTGAATTTATAGGGAGTACGAGGGCATTAGTCTAACATAAAGCAGGATGTCTACTAGACTACTTATATTATTCAGAAGTATTTATCACTGTAGTCCAAGAAGTCATCATTGAATACTATAAAGCAGGATTTCTACTAGACTGCTATCCATGAATGAAAGCTTACTGAATACAAGAACCAAAACTAACCAAGAAGGCAAGAACATAGACGACTAAGGGAGGGGGGAAGAAGAAGAACCCAGAGGTGAAGAGGTGAAGATACGAGAGAAACAAGAGTTACCAGCCGACGTCGCAGTCTCAACTTGAAGGGATAGCGGATGTCGCGCAACTCCAAGAGAGCCGATGTTGCTGTTAGAGACTTGGAACTCCGTTAAATTTAGGTTTTAATTTAGGATTTCTAACCGTGCTACCGAAGGTAGGGATAATCGTCCAGGTCTCAATGCGAAAGGATAACCGTGCCCTTACAGCATGCTGGCCGATTATAAGTCCATAGGCCTTCGTAGTCCCTTCATTGGAGCGAAGGCCGAGCATATAGGTCCTTAATAAATAAGTGTCTCCCCATCCTGACCCTTTTTTATGGGGCTTGCGGGCGGAAGTGTCCCTGCTGTGAACTATATATATATCATATATATCCATCCGTGCCCCACTCCTGTATTTGAATGGTCTTGGTCTTGTCCTCCCTGGACTCCATGAATGTGCTACCTATTTGAATGTGCTTCAATTTTAAAAAAAACGAGTAATGCCGAGTACTCGCCGATTTCCGATGTTGACCGAGTAGCAAAACTCGCCGAGTAACTCGGAAAATTAACTCGGACCGAGTTAAGTTGCTAATCGGCAAGGTAAGGACCCGAGTTGCGAGTCCTCACCGAGTACTCGCCGAGTACTCACCGAGTAGATAACCTAGGTCAGGCCAATGTAATGAAATCACCACTCATAGTACTTCTGTGTAGGTTTGTAAATACTTTTTGGATGCTGTGGAGAAGAAACAATATGGATGGTTTTGGGCTTGTCCAAATGGTGTCAACTGCCACTATAGACACGCTCTTCCTCCTGGGTACGTTCTGAAGTCGCAGATGAAGGCTCTATTAGAAGAAGAAAAAGAAAAAGTGTCCATTGAGGAAGAGATTGAAGATAAGGTGATTGATTATGTTTTTCTGCCGATGTACTTAATTTTCATTTTATACTGTTTGGCATGCTCCGATATAAAATTTGTAGCCTTTAACATGGAATCCTGTTCCTTTGCATCACCCCCGGTTCAATATTTTATATTCCTTATCACACAAAAAAGAGTCCTGTTTGGGTAACGTAAACCTTTTTAATCAGTTCAATCAAGGTATAAGTTTTTTCAAAATTGAAATGGTCTCTTACACTACTCGCCTACTCCTAAAGTAATGGATTAAAGGTCACTCCCTTTTATAGGAATTTTTACTTAACAATGAAAGTTGGCTTATAAACCCAGAGCTTTGGAAACATGACTCTTTTTAGGAATGGAGGGATTATTATATAACAGTCCTGATGTATATCTTATGTGTGCAGCGTGCTAAATTGACTGCATCAACTCCTATGACTCCTGAGCTATTTATGGAGTGGAAGAGGAAGAAGTGGGAAGAAAGAGATGCTAAGATGGCCTTGCAAATAGCAGAGAGAGCCAAGAATGATCGCATGAGGTATAACTAACACACACACACACCCTACTGACCCTATTAAGTCATGTTTTTCAGTTGTTAGATCAAGTGTTTTTATAACTTCACAATGTATGTGTCACAGTGGACGCGAGCTGTTTATGTCAGATGCCAGCTGCTTTGTGGATGATGTTGGAGCATATGATAAATATGACCGGGAAGCAGAGTCTGCTGCGACTACTGAACAGAAGGTGATTTATAGATTTATGTTGCTTTGCTCCCCTAACTCCCCATCCAGAACAATGTGTTAACGTGTAAAATAAGTCATATCACCTGTATGCCAATGACATCCACATTGTGAACTGAACTAACTTTACAGCTACGCACAAAGTGGACTCCAAGGAGATTTCCCGTACTTGGCAATTTAAGAACCTATTTGGTGGGATGTATTTGGATTATAATTGACTTATTTACTGGATTTACTGACATTGGGGCTGAGTGGGTTAACTTATGTAATTGGGGTAAAAATATACTTTATTAATAAATTAAAGAAAATGATGTCTAAAAATGAGAGTAAAAGTATCATTTAATTTATTCTACTTTCATCTACCTCATGCAAAAAGCTAGCTTTTGCACTGCATTTAATATGAGTGAGGATTCATCTAGAAAAATCGGACAAGTTAACAAGTTACTTATATTCGGGTGACACGGATGATATCATCAATAAATGAAAATAAATAAACTAGGAAACATACTGTTATCAACTGATTCAGTAATATGAATTGATGCTTTAGGATTTTAGTACGTATAGGTGTGATAATTTAATCATTATATGTTTGTGTGTTTTCGGTGGGGCATTGATCAGGTTGAAAATAATGGTTCAAAGGATGAGGCGAGCTGCTCAACCTCAGCCCCATGCACAGGAAATGCTCAAGATGTTTTTGATGAGGAAGATGATGATTTGGATTATGATGAGCTGAATGAGCTAGAGGCCAGCCTTGCAAAAACAACACTACAAATAAACGAACCCGGTGGTGACGCATGAGACAAGAAATTGAATTGATAAAGTCTCTTTTTTGTTAGATTCATATCAGGTTCCGAATCTTGAGATAGATTTTGGTACTTGGTGTTCTCCTTTATATTCCCTCACACTTGCATTCCAAAACGACATAAATGGATTTGGGCATCTATGGGATATTTAGACCATAGTCTCCAGGAGTCCAGGGTGCAATCCCAATGGAGTTCTTTGTTTCTAGTCATTGCCTTCGCCATCTCTATCATTTATTCATTTTAGTGTTTTGTATATTATCAGTCATTTGGAGTTCATGTGCATGAATAGTTTTTTTTTTTGAAAGAAAACAACCCTTCTTATAAAATTAAATCATGTGCATGAATAGTTGATAACTTGAAAGTTGAAACTTGGTGTATAAACCAATTAGCGGAAGAAAATGCAGTAAATGGAATAGCACGGGTGAACTTGAAAAGAACTAACATTACTAACCAGTAACCCCAATGAAAGTCAAGTGAAGAATTTTAGAATTTAGACAAGTGTCAAGTCAATTTCAACGGAGTACATTTTGTTATCAAACTACATCGTATATTTTGTGTTGTTTGGTTACAAATCTTACAATGATTTTAATGATAATTATTTGGATAGAGAATTAGAGATGGATTAGGAAAATTATGTCTTATAAGAATATGAATATCTTTCAACTTTTCAAGTAGATATGTTTAGGATTTTAAGCGCTTGAGTGCTTGACACAATGTTACCGATTCACCCAGAGCCCAGAGGGTGATTGGATACTTTCATGTTTCCTTAAACATTTATCTGATATCACATGATTAAGTCATGATTTCTCTTCAGTCCATTAAATCAAGAGTAAAGTAGTAAACATGACTTAAGCTAGTTTGGTTTGGACCCACTTTTTACCCATAATTGTGACATTTTTAGCATGAAGGTGAGTTAACTTTCTCCTCTTTGATAATATAGATGAATGATATGTACCTCATTCTGCTTGATATCATAACACTCTAAAGTATATGAGTGACATTAATAATTTATTATGACCTATAACAAATAATTGCTTTAATCAATTGTGGCCGTGCATTATAATTAAGGCATGAGTATTTATTTATAAAAGTAATACCTTATTTTTATTTATGATTTATTAGGGGTGATGAACTACTTAAATATTTCATATCTAAAAGAATAGAATTGCACTGGCCACCTATACGAAATTCTAAATTTGTTCATCAAAATGGCTTTCAAATAGAATGGAACCATGTCATAGGTCCAAGTCATGTGAGCGGCCTCTTGTCAAAGTAACAAGAGTTACCTTATACACCTTTGTGGGGTTTTCCCGAATCCTCTCATTGTGAGGCATCAATGTCCACCTTGCTACCCTCAATGGGTAAACACATATAAATTCCTTATAAAAAGAGAGAAAATATTATATTGCATCTAATAAATGCAAAAGAAAATCATATTTAAGTAGGTTATGAGTCAAAATGGTCATTGACTCATACAAACTTTGAAATAAGTGACTCAAATCATTAGTCATTCAAATACAGGATGCAATGTGATCCAACACAATGTAAGTTATTGGTCTTAGCAAAGCTAAATAGCAAAACAACATACATCTTCGAAACTCTAAAGTACGAGAAAAAATATTTACTTTTCATTATGCATAAAAATAGATGACACGTTCGTTATTTCATAAAGTTTACTCTTTAGCAATAATAAATCCATATTTGCCTATACTAAGGATATAACAATAAAGATATCTCATTTTTTTCAATACAATGTGACACGTGAGAACTTATCTACCAAAATACGGACCATTTAAGTAATTATGGTTTGGTAGAAATTAAATACGGACCATTTAAGTAATTATGGTTTGGTAGAAATTTCTCATGCTATCTATTTTCTTGTGTTGCATTTGCAAAACTTCTAGCAAAACTTATTCATTTAAGGGCCACCACCCGTCCAATTAGGGGTACACCGCTTTGCGGAATGTCACCTTCATAAGACAATTAACTTTCCTTCCATTAGGGGGGGGGGGGGGTGAATTCTTCAATTGAATGACATGAATCATTATGATACATCCCTACCCTGTCTTATCAATGATTTCCAAACTTCAAAATGTAACATTGAAGTAAAGGATTAAAATCGCCATAAGCAACGTAAGTGATCGGATCACATACACTAGCTGTAAATATATGTGTAAGGCTTGAAGTTCATATTAAAAGATACAATGCTAAAGGAACAAACATTGCAACCACAAATAGTGGGGTAATGATTAAGGTCGTGGCTCTTTAAAGGAACAAGAGGAAGCCACATGGTTTGATTAATTATCCACCCCAAGTGATACAGGGTAGATAGGCACAAAACAAATATACTCGTCATCATATAAATTCCTCTCAGGAGATTATCTCTGGCCAAACATATGTCCATGAATCAATAATGGGGGATGCTCCGAAGTTTAAATGACTCCAGAGAATTGAAATCTCAATGGTAATGAGAGTGTGTTTGCGTCAAAGGATATATCTTACACTTATATTGACGATATATTTATACGGTTGCTCAAAGTAGTATAGAGCACGATGATATCGAACCATACCCTATTGCAGTATGAAAACAGAGAGAATACTGGCCTATATGCGTACAAGTAATCCAGGATTAAATTCAATAATATACAAAGAGACAGATATTTGGTATGGTAGTCCTAACCTATCAAGTGTAAAGCTTGTAGGATATGAACTAAACTCTTTGTTAGAAAGTGTAATCTGAGAACGCCCTAGATTCAAATAGGAGAAGTTACAATTCTTTATTATGAAAACCAAAATGTTCAACTACTTAGTCAATAAGTAGCCTCCAAAGCAATGGAGACGCAACTAAGGATTGTAGTTATTAAATGTCTTAGTAGAATTTCATTTAAGAGATATATATGAAATATTTGTCATGTTTTTATTATCTCTAATCAAGCGGTTTTAAATTACATTATATATTTACATTAAAACGTACACATTTGGATTAAATCAATCCATTTAAGTTTTGATTCCAAATATCACTGTATCTCCATGATATAGACATAATATGTACTCATATAATGGAATACGAGACATGTTAGATGCTTGAAAGTCGTAATTGAGATAAAGTATCTTGGAAAACTTGGGACTGTTTTGAAATCAAACATCAAATTGGTTGAATATTAATTCACCACTTGCATATATCCAAAAGGGTTCTCATGCAAATTAACATGGATAAATGTAAACTGTTAGCACTCCCCATGATCGGTCGAACTATGTATACTAGAAAAGACCCATTATTGATAAGTTATTGGGAGAAGGAATTCCCTATGTAAGTGCAATATGTGCATGATTGTACTATGACAACTACATTAGACCAAATATTACATTCTCAAGAACGTGTTAGCTAAATATAGCTCAGGACTGACACAACATATATCGTCATTTGAATGGTATCAAGAATGTACTTTGATATCTATATGAAATCATTGGTGTAATCTTAATTTATTCGTCCCTTATAAATTGAATTAAATGATTGATGATAGTAATATTCCGAAAGAAATTGGAAATGCCAAAAGTAATGTGATTTGAGTTTTACCGATGATGGATATCCCCTTACCTCATTGATATTTTCTTAAATGAGTATATATTTATCATGAAAGAAATCATGATAAAAGTACATATCAACTGAATCTTGGATTCTTATTAATGTTTTGCACTCAGGGGGAGTCCTTACATACTTATTTATCACCAGTTATATTGGTGTGTTGTAACATTTTCCCTTTTGATCAAGGTTTATTTTTGTTTCCCATGAGTTTTGTTACTAGGTAAGGTTTTTTATGAGACAACATAATATGCACAATCACACATTTTAATTCTGCGAAAGTAAAACAATGTTGAAGAAAGAACATAATTACTATATTGCAGTCAAAAGTAATTGACTCGTAGTTACTAGTGCATGATATGTAGTACTTCCTTTTCCCTTTGACTGATGTTTATTTTTTCTATTGGGTTTTGTTCATTGACAACATCTTAGCAAGTTAATAATTTGGAAAAATTCCCTACGCTCGACACACAGGGGAAGAATTAAAGGAATTTTATTTCTCTATTTGTGTGTTTCACAAAGGTAATTAATGTGACAAGTATTGAAATGCATATATTTTGCAAACACCATTAACTAATGTAAAAATTAAGGGTAGATGTAGACATGAGGGGTAATACCCCAAATAGATGATGTTACATCTTTTCCTTTAACCAAATTTTATTTTTTCTCATTGAGTTTTGTTTCTCGGTAAGGTTTTAAATGAGATAACGGTATATATTAACTTTAATGATCAAAGCAAAAATCAAATAATGATAGACTTACTCAAAGAAGTTTATCATGAGATTGTACTCTTTCTCCAGTCAAGGTTACTTGACGGTGATTTTGACGAGGCAACAAGATAGATATCAAATTATATCTACAACTCAGCACAAAGGGGAGTGTTGAAGGAAATTATATGTAGTGTGTCGTCGTTTATATATAGCATGTATTAGGATCATACTATCTAGACTATGTATTATGAACCCATTATTAGGCCGTCCCTATAAACCTTAATATCTCCCCTATTTATTGGGCATCCGGTAATGAAACTACAAGTCCTTTTAACCTAGAAAAAGAATTAATAAAGACACTGGATAGCATGTGTCCAGTGTCCCGCTATTTGTACATAACTAAGCAATAAATCATTTTTATACGTTGTGATATAATTCTCTCATATTAATAGCAAGTTCTTTTGGTGCTTTTCTATTGGACATTCGTGATACGTAATGTTATTTTTACTGTGATGATAATCCTTCTACATAATATTAAAATCATATTTTGTTGCCATATTTTGTTATCCTTCATAATTCTCCAAATTGGGGAACTTAAAAATTAAGCATTTGAAAGGTTTCAGAGAGTTATAAAAGCCCTCCGGAATCATCCCACTATGTTTTAAACTCTCAAACATGAAAAGAAGAGTTATAAGCTCTTGTCGACCATTCTCTCGCCTCCAAAAGCTAATTCCCAAACATAACCTTAAAAGAAGAGTATGTTTGGCCGTTTGGAGGGAAGTGGAAGGATTTGGAGGTATGATTTTGAAAGGAAAGAGAAGCAAAGATTAGTAAACTCTTCTTCATATTTGGGAGTAATAAATTTGGAAGAATAGAATTTTTGAATGAATGTAATTAAGTTCAATTTGAGCTATGACCAACAAATAATTGAACTAATATTCTTTTTCAATTGAGCTTAAATTATTATTTCGTTAATTATCTTTCAAAATCTTCTAATTTAGGGGAACTTAAAAATTGAACATTTAGAGAGTTTTGGAGG